GTGGATGACTTTGGGGTCCTACAGGCCATTTATAGGGCCTTATGTTTTTATTTTGCTGTACGGTGACCTAATTATAGGCGCCTTAAAGACCTTGACGATCTTTAAGGCGCCTATAATTAAAATGTATTATTATTATCATCATTATTATTATGTTATTATTATACATTAATATGCATAAAGGAGAAACAAAGTGTTTTAGTCAGTTATATGTTTGTTAGGGAGATTTTTAATATCTGTAGTCTTAATGTTTCACTGGTTAATTTGAGGTAAAATGATAGTTTTTTTTAAGCTAGCAGATAACAGAGGGGTTTTTTGGGGGGTTTTTTTAATGCACGGCATTTGGCTGTTTAACTGTCATTACATGTGCACATGATTTAATTTACGTTACATTTTTTCTAAAACCCAGTTGTATTTTTATTCGATTTAATTAAATATTTTAGCACAGTTTTAGCTTAGTTTTACCCTGACATTTGCGGCATGCTACGTACATTGGGAGGAAGATTTGCCTGAGAGATCTGACTCAGGGTAAAAATGGCTCACTACTTCCTCAGACCACTTTTTTTATAAGTCACTGACGGCGCTGTCTGAGAGAGAAGAAACGTGGACGGTGTAGTTTAAATCGTTTCCACAGCTTTAGTTTGTGTTAGTTACTTCTTACTCGAAAACATCCATTTGTAAAATGACGGGACAGTCTTCGTTGTTATTGCGTAAACAATTATCAGGTAAGTTAGCTAACTGTTGCTGCTAAGTCTGTGGACACTAGCATTTCACTTTGTTTTATTGTCAGTCACAAGTGAGAAGCAGACGTGTTTCGTTTGGTTGTTGTTTAGTAGTAGCAGTGTTTGTCATATGTGACCTGTGTGTTTTATATATAAAAGCTTGAAAATGTAGTTGTAATGCACGTGTCGCGCGTAGATAGCGTGTCACACAGCTGTTAGCGGACATATGACTAAGGCTAGCTGCTATTGCTCAACAGCTACTATTTAAAAGTCAGTACACCCCCATTCATTACATGTGCTTACTCTCTCCATGTCTACTTGATGTTATTCGAAACACACAGTGTGGTGAGTTTAAACACGTTTGATCACTTTGAATCTGCAGAACTGATCAAGAACCCAGTGGACGGCTTTTCTGCCGGGCTCGTGGACGATGATAACATCTATCAATGGGAAGTGGTCGTTATTGGACCTCAAGACACATTATAGTGAGTGATTCTTGTTTATTGATCTTAACTAATGGATTTATATCCATCTGAAGCTAAAGCTGGTCTTGTTAACACCATCCTCTTTCTCATTTTCAGTGAAGGAGGTTTCTTCAAAGCTATCTTAACATTTCCTCGCGACTATCCTTTGAAGCCTCCTAAGATGAAGTTCGCCACTGAAATCTGGCATCCAAATGGTAAGAGCAAGCATCTCAGAACCTCTTCCTCTTTATGTAATCTACATCAAAGGATAGGAAATTAGCATTTTTTTGGGGGGGGGGCTGTCTTAAATTGTGGTTATGATTATGCAAACATTACTTCTAATCACAGCCAATGGCTTAGATGGTAATTTATATTATTAAAAAATACAAGAATTATGAGTTTTAAAAATATGTAAGCCTTAGCTTAACACTCGGGTATGTACAGTAGTGCTGTGCAATACTGCAGATTTTGGTATTGATCAGATATGAAGCAAATACAGGGCCAGCATTGCCGATACCACTACCTTTACCCTATAAATGCAGCTTATATACCGGAGAGCAGCATGTGTGATTTACAAGATTAATCATCATCATTTTGCAATTTCTGAACACATTTTAATGACCACTAAATCACAGTGAAAACACCTGATGTGGCTGTCCAACACTGGACTGGAAGACCTACATAAAAAAAAAAAAAGATGTTTACTTTGCTCCCAAAACACAGATGGGAAAGTAGCAACTGTTTGCTTCTGTGACATGCCAGCATGCCCTGAGCAAAGCAAGAGGCAAACTGTGTATTATAACTACTTGTAGTAATCATTTAGCTTTAGGTGTTTTTAGTTGTTTGGTTTGCATTCCCAGCATTAAATCAGACTCGATCTCAGTGGGTGTTGGTCTCCGCCAAGGCTTTTATTTGTCACAGACTCATTTTATGGGGAGAATTTCTAGACACAGCTAATTGACGGAGGATATCGGGTCTTTTGTCTCAGCTTCTTGCAGATGATATGGTTTTGTTGGCTACATTGAGAAATGACTTTCAGGTTACACCCGAGTGGTTTGCAGTCGAGATGAGAATCAGCACTTCTAGGTCTGAGGCCACGGTTCACAGCTGGAAGAGAGCGCCCACTCTGGGTAGGGGACAAGTTGCTGCACCAAGTCGAGGAGTTCAAGTATATCTGGGTTTTGTTCTCAAGCGAGGGGAGTTGGGAAAGTGACAGGCAGATTGGTGCAGTCTTGGCAGCAGTGTGGGTGCTATACTGGTCTGTTGTGGTGAGGAGACTAGTGTAAAAGTGAGTCTGTCTGTTTACCGACTGATCTATGTCCTTACTCTCACCTGTGGTCACAAGCTCTGAGTAGTGACTGAAAGAATAAGATCACAAGTGCAAGTGATGGAAATGAGTTTTCTCCGAATGGTGTCATCTTTCAGCCTTAGAAATGGAGTGAGGACCTCAGAGTAGAGCTGCTGTTCTCTTCCAGGATGTCTCCTTTGCCCATTCTAGGTGACATGTTTTGGGTCCCAGGGCTGATTCAATACACGCTAGACAGATTATGTCTCTCAGCTGGCTGATTGGTTTCATCATATATACATAACACAATTAATATTTAGTTGAAATGATTGAAATTGAGTGATACCAGAGTGAAGGAATGGTAAATCTGCTTTTTAAGTAATAATGTGGATTGTACTTGGGACAAAAACTAATTATATTTATAATTAAATTACTCAAATTTTCATTTTATAAAATAAATTGTGAATCTGGAACAAATTCTTTAAATGACATTAAATACATAACCAATAACACTTTAAGAAGAAACATGTTTTGCTTTTATTATCATTATTTTGCTATTATGATTGCTTCTTCAGTTGGTAGTCTGTGTATGTTAACTATATCAGTAGGGTGAGGATCAATAGATCCATCAATCGTGTACTTTTAAGTGGTATGACATGAGCCACTTTTACCACAAGTGATATGGAATAAGCCTATACCACACCACTTGTGGTAAAAGTCCCTTAATGAGCTTTTACCTTTTATTTTATATCTGCAGCACTGTAACAGTCTGTTTATTTTCCTGCTTTCTTTTATGCCAGTGGCAAAAAATGGCGAAGTTTGCATTTCCATTCTGCACGAACCTGGTGAGGACAAGTACGGCTACGAGAAGCCTGAGGAGCGCTGGCTACCGATCCATACAGTGGAGACCATCATGATCAGTGTCATCTCCATGCTGGCAGATCCCAATGTAGATTCTCCTGCCAATGTGGATGCAGCTGTAAGTGCTCATGTTCTCCAGGCGATACTGGATGCTGTCTGTTTACAGGAAACATCTTAATCTGTCTGCTCTAAGTTTGGTTAAATGAGATCACATTTTTCAGAGACGCTAGCTTCAGACAACGTGTTACAGGCATCTCTGATTTGTGCAGCTTGTGTGGCCAAGATGTAGAAACAAGAAGTGATGGAGGGAGTAAATGACACTGTATACAATCACTGTCTATTATACCCGGCAGAAAGAGTGGAGAGAAGATCCTACAGGAATTTTTAAGAAAAAGGTGGCGCGTTGTGTACGGAAAAGCCAAGACACTGCTTTTGACTAAGGCGTCAGTCTGATCATCAGTTCTGTAAGTAATGACAAGAAGAAGCTTTATTGTTCATGCATTACAAATTTTGTGTTTTTGTTTTGTTAGTTTGTTTGATTTTTAGAGCCCTCTGAATTCACAGCCTTCTACCATAGTGATTTACTTCCTTATGAAACTAGAACAGAAACTGAAATGTTTATTTTTTTTCTTGGGTAGGAGCTGGATGTGGATTGCCCGTTGAGGGAGATGGCTGGCAGATCTTTGCAACTTTTTGCCAGTGAAGAAACTTCTTCATGAATATTGCTGAACAGCAGTAACATCAATGCTGCAGTTTTATATCATTACCACTTTATCAGCATTTCACTAGCAGGACATGTGCAGCCTTTTTGTGTGGCTTGCATACTTATGGAATTTGACAGTACACTGCTCCCATTTTGTTTTTTTCCCCCCAAAAGTAAATGTATTAACATAATATTTAGGATGATTTCCATAATTTAAGTAGTGTAATGTTAAATTCTGTATGGGGAAAAAAAATCAGATTTTGGAGAAGGCACCAGGATAAATGCACCTTCTCTAAAGCTTGTTTATATTGTTCTATTTATTTGTAGTGAAGCTGTTGCGTGTCGACTGCTCGAGTTATTTTTTTTTCCTTCAATTTGCAACACTGAGCCACTCATTTCACTATATATGCAGTTTTTCATTAATCGCAGTCATTGATCAGATGGAAATCTAGAAACACATCTTCCTCTTTCTCAGGTGCTTCTTCTTTCCTTTGTTGAACTTGAACACTGCCTTAACTTCAGCAAGGACTGCATTTAAGAGCCTTTTTTTTAACTCAAGGAAAAAAGGTGTCTCATACAAACCAAAGAGAAACCGTGATTTTAATTATTATTATTTAAATTAACAGACTTTCTTCCTATCCTTGTGATTGCATATGTAGAGTAAATGTATTCTCTCATTCCTATGGAAGAGGTCACAGGTCAGCAGTTATTTTAATACCTCTTACAGAAGTTTATATGTAATAGCTTTTTTTTTTTTATGGTTACAATAGCATGGATATGTCAAATGAAATATAGTTGTATTGATATAAGTGTGAATAAAGTCGTGCAGATACTGTTCTTTCTGTAGAAACCTTTTCTTCCCTCCGCTGTACACCAACACATCCTTAAACAGACCTCAAGTCACTGAAGTTTTCCTTCACACCTAGTGGCACATTTGGTTAAAAACTAAACGGCAATAACTGCACTAGTTTCGCGTCTCCATAATTGCTTTATTGAATTAAGCACCAGCTCAATATAATCAACAAGTGAAGACATGCTTGAACATAAACTGTATAAAATCTTAACACAAAAGCAGACCCTCCTTTACCACCCCACCCAAAAATCCATCTTGCAAGTGTAGAAAACTGCAGTCCTAGTTGCTCACTGTCCAGGGGCTGACAGGCTTTTGTTCATGAACTGCTTCTTGACGAAGCAAACCCACCACTGAAAGAAGAAAAAGTTGGTTAACTTTTCAGTCAAAAGGACACGTTTCAGTGTTAACTGCTGAAACCTGCACATATTTAGATTTTAGAAAGCAGCTTAAATCTAGCATTTGAGCCTGTATCCCTCCTGGGTTAGCTGTGTGGTGACCTAGATTTGATATTAAGTTGTATAAATCAGATAAAGGAGGCAGGAAATCAAGACAGGAACAACAGTTAAATTTCGTTCGTCTCTGATCCAAATATGAGCTATGCAAGTTCTTTTCTGTATTGCAACTTAAATCCTACTGGATGCATCAGACACAGTAATTAAGGAACAAGGGGTGCATTAGCCCTGAGACATTTCCCTTGTTATGTTCACAGACCGCAACAGCCAATCACTTTGGACATGCCAGACTTACCTTGCTGGGTTTATCTGTCTGGGGGTCAAACACACGATCGCATAGCCTCAAGCCAGTCTCCTGTCGGAGCTGCTGGAGGTAGGCCCTCATAGTCTCTAAAGAAGGATGAAGAGCAAATATTATCAGTCCAGCCACAGACAGCAACAACTGTTTAACAGCAGGAAGGCATGGCTTTAGTAGTCGACCTTCCACATAATATACTGTACAAAAAAAAAAGATCCAGGCATTTAGATTTAGGAGTAAGATTGCTGTAAAAGATCTGAGAGGATTCACTTGGATATGGAGTTCAGTAAAATAACTCAATATTTTCAGGAGTTTTTAAATAGGGTGGAATTCCATTAGTTTCATGTGTAACAGTTGGTACTTTATAAATGATAATCACACAAGTATAAAACAACATTTTCAGCTCCAGACCCCTAAAGCTTAAAGGTCAGCATTTCTACTTTTGGCTTGAAATATAAGAGGTGTACAAAGGAACCAGTCTAATTCAGAGTCAGGGAATTGAAACAACATAACCAGTTGGTATAAATATGGTGAAATGTCAAGTTTGTTTTTACTTATTTACTGATAAACACCCTAAGGCAGACAAACATGTACTAATCCTAGCTTGTGGCTTCTTACCTTCCTCTTGCTTGTTTGCAGGTTTGACATACATAGCATTAAGGGGGAAGCCAGGTTCTCCAGGAATGGGAAAGTTTGTGATGCCCAGAGTGTACATCTCCTTTTCTCCCTGGCTCCTGGAGCTGCACTGTAGAGCCACATATCCCAATGGAAATAGTTTGATTATGTTTTCTGGTCACCTACTTGAATATATACATTTAAGTAGCTCATTGCTACAAGTGATGAAACTGCATTAAGCCCTTTGTGGGGATTTCAATTTACCTTCTGTAGTTTCTTTAGGCATTCAGAAATATAGAGTGTGACATAGATCAGTGTCCTGTCTGCCTCATTCTGAAAGAAACACATGTACACACACATTTTTGAAAAATTTATATAAAGCATTGAGGTTACTGTAATTTGTAGTAGTTAGGTCTCAGAATTGGACAGCCTAAACCATGCAAACTATGAAAAGATTGCACTGTTTGCAATCACAGGAAGAGGCAAGACAGGGCATGTGGAAAAACCAAGTGCTCAGCTGCTCCAGAGAGAGTAAGAGAAAACATAGAGGAAAAGGGGCACCAGTGAGGTGCATACCTGCCTTCTTATTTAAATAAAACTTAAGCTACTTTTAAAAAATAAATATATATATATATATATATGATTTTGATATATATATATAATAATTATATGAATATATATATATATTTATATATATATATAGTGTTGATACAATGGTGGGGGCACAAATACAGCAAAACCGCCTTAAGGTTTATGACTATTTTGGTCTCCTTAAACATGGAACACATGCAATCAAAACAGTGCAAATGTCAATGAATTGCTTACCTTGATTTCATAGTTCTTGAAGAAAACATTGGCCTTGAAGTAGTAGATAGCCTCGTCAATAATATCAGAATCTACGCCTAAAATTTAAAAAAGCAAAGAAGAAATCAACAAATTTATGGCTCTAAATTCAGTATTTGTGCATGTGCATATGTATGTGTCACTGTTAAAATGCCATTTCCCGTTTTAGCCATGCAGGCCTTTTTGCTACCAGCAGAGCTCCATTCTTGATTTATGAGCTGCTAACAAGCAACTAGAATCACCCAATCACAAAATATAATAACTTTATTATTCAATAGCACTCAACCTGTCAAACCCACAACACCATGGAAGACTGAAATGAACCTTTAGGTGGAGTAGACACTACAAAATGCACCGTTTTATTACAGAAGTGCTCATAGACTCTAATGAAGAAGTTAGAAGTTGAGGATGAGCTTTTTACACCATATAAGGAAGTGTATCTGATGCATGTATCAGGAAATACAGTAGGGGTCATAACAAGCTACAACCCATTGCCTAAAAATGACTTAACCAAATCAAAAAACACTACTATAGACTTCACTACAATTGATATGCGTTATGTGAAGGACATTATCGAGTAAAATGTACTCGATAAATATTACACAAGTAAAATATATCGCATAGCCTTACCGTCTCCTCTGGCTGGTCCTTTAAACTGAGTTTTGACGGGGAGCAAAGCCATGTTCCCCACCAGCCTCGTTTCGGTGGCCATCAGGTTTGAGTGATACGCCTGAAAAATATTAAAAGAAAAAGTTGCTGTCACCTGATATCTTTGGGAACATTTCTGCCAGATAGCATCATTGCTACTATGCTAGCCTGGTTTAATAGTTATGTTATCGTAGAACCAAATAATAAGAAGTAGTATAGGCAGCGTGCTAAAACCTATTTGCAACAAAGCATCAAACGCGAATTTGCGCTTTCTGACATGTCAAACATCGTTAAATTGCGACCCAAATGGTTAGGTAATTAGCGAACTATGCTAACGTTAACTCGGAGGCCCCTTTTTTCCTACTCAGTGGGATTTCAGCGCAATATTTCTGCTCTAAACCTAGCAGTAAAGTTCTCTGCTCGTCAATAATAGTGTGTTCCTTCTTATTTTTACTCACCGGCATGTTGAATGATAAATATCAGTCCAACTGCTCAGCGACAGAAATATTCCAACACTTGCAAGATGCTGCTTCCGTGGTGTCCCACCCTTCGGCTTTACAGGAAGTGGCCACGTGTCATGTGGCGTATCAACCAGCCGGGGGCGCTAAATAAACACTTTACATCACACGGGCGGCAAAACGTGTATTTTGCGTTGCATTTTATTCAAAAAGATATAATAGCAATATTTTTTAATAACTGCTAAGCATTTAAATGCATCAAACCACTGTTTTAAAATATACTTTTAAATGAATAGCTTCATTTTCATCAAAACAAACAAACAAAAAAAAAACATGAAACATTATTCATGATATCCACAATCTTCTTCACGTGTCCATTTCTCAGTATCCATCCAGTTACAACAAACAGTCCGATTGGAACTCCTTTGCCAGTCTTGCTACACAAAGTCTGTATTTGCAGGATTGGCCGTACTCCGCCTCAGCTGTTCGCTTTGTCTTGAAAAATGTCGTCATAATTTAGGTTAGCAGGCTGTTCCTCAACCTCCTGTAGGAAAACAAGGTACAGAACAAAAAAAAACTGGTTGATCATGAAAAGCTATATAATGCATCTCTCACTCACTACACCACACACACATACACACACACACACACACACACACACACACACACACACACACACACACACACACACACACACAACACACACACACACACACACAATATTTATTATATAAATTTATTTTTTTCCAGTTGTGTTTAATTGGGGTTGGTGGGTTGTGCTGTTTCTTCACCTTTGGCTCCTTAAACTCCAGGTCCTCTCCGTACTGTATTGAGAAGTCAATGTGTTGCAGTACTATGTTAATACCTTCTTCATCAGTGCGGTCAAAAGGGAGGAATCTTACTATACTGTAGTCATCAATCTAGATACACAAACAGATACTGTCTCATTAAAAACAGACAAATATATTAATAAAAATATCAATCTGGTCATAAACATGATGCAGTACCAAATCAAGGCCTTTACTTACGAGACCACAAATAGCTTTGGTTAGCTTCTTGAACTTTTTGCTTCTGATTGTGTTGGAGCCGTCTTCCATCATTGAGTACATGTCTGGGTCCAGGTATCTTTAAAAAAAAAAAAAAAATGCAATGCATAAAAATGTAAGCAAATTAAAACTAAGAATTGTGTCTTCAAACATGTTCAGGTTTTGAATAACATGAAAAGAAAACATTAATCTAGTCCTAGTACAGACGACAAAGGGAATTACTTTTGTAGATTGTGTGTGCACTTAACATTGTCAATTCATATGAAACTTACTTTTCAATCTCCTTCTTTGCTTTGGGGCTAAGCAGATCCATTTTTGTCATGATGTTTACCTGAGGAATCTCTAATGACACCATAGCACTGAGGGCAGCCATGACTCCAGAGATAAACTACAGTAGGAGACAAGTAAAAGGTGTGCTGTCACTATTACATTATGTTTGTGTTTGTACAGAAATGAAGTTAAAAAAGGAAAATCAAATAAATCAGAGGAAGACACTGTGAGACTGTTACCTTAAAAGACTCCACCATGAACTGCGAGTCAACAAGGAAAACTCCACAAACCCGAAACTCCCACTGCTGGAGCTGCTCCACCAGCTGCTTCATTACAGGAAGGTGTGTGTACAGCTCAATCTGCCCTGTAAAGAGAAGCCACGCTTCACACCAGTTCTATGAGGCACAGTCTTATTCCAGTCTTGTTCCAAGACTGGAATAATGATATATACACTCATCTGCCAATTCAATAGGTTTGTTATTCTCTAATGGCAGCAGCTCAACTACATTTAAGCATACAGACACGTTCAATATGCTAAAGTTTAAAGCAAGCATCAGAAAAGGGAAATATGGTATGGTTATTGATGCCAGACGGGCTGGTCTGAGTATTTCAGAAACTGATCTGCTGGGATTTTCCCCAAACAGCCATCAACAACCATCCGTAGGGTTTACAGACAACAGTCCAGAAAACAAAAAAAAAAAAAAGAGCGCCACTTCTCTGGGTGAGAATTCTTGTTCATGTATGAGGAGAAAGACCAGACTGTTTAAAGCTAATATGAAGGCAAGAGTAAACTCATATTCATTACAACCTAGGTTTACAGAGGAACATCTCTGAATGCACAACATGTTGAACCTTGAATCGGATAGGCTACAGCAGCAGAACACCACACCAGGTGCCACTACTGTCAACTATGACCAGGAAACTGAGGCTATAATTTGCAAAGGTTCAAGAAAACATAATTTAAACCCCACAGCCTACCTGAGTATTGCTGCTGACTACCTTATGATCACAGTAAACCCATCTTCTGACTGTTGCTTCTAGTAGGATAATTTGTCATACTACAAAGCTCAAAATCATCTCAAACTATGTCTCGCTGCATGCTCAATCATCCAGGTAATGAAATCCCAAAACATTGATCCTGTCCATCAAAACCATAGCACTTTCAGTGGGAGAAACATTATATCACTCATCCAAGTGCCTTCTTCAGTCTCAGATGGCCAAAATCAACGTTTTGGCATCTCAAACAAACTGACAAATCTGCAGCAATTTTGTGATACTATCATGTCAGTATGGTCCAAAGTGTATAAGGAATTCACCGCGTTGAATGTATGCCATAAGGAATTAAGGTAATTTTGAGGGTAAGTGGTCATGAGTGTAAATCTATTTTGGTGATTTTAACAAAATTAACAAATAACAGTGCCCAGGATATGTTGAATCCCATCCACACTCCAGCACAAACAACTGCACTGTGCTGAAGCCAATGGAAGTCTGGCTTCAACATACCCTCTTTGAAACATTTACCTGGACAGTCGAACAATATGTAGTCATCTTCCACGTGGCCCAGGCTTTCCTCCAGCCAATCAAAGTTGTTTGCGAAGTACTCCATGCAGAAAACCAGACCTCCGTTTGGGCCAAATCTTAAAGACTCGTCCTCCATCACGTCATCCACCTGAATAAGCTCACGAATGTCTGAGAGCAAACATAATAAAGTTACCATGTGGGTTGTGTAAAATAACTCCTATATGCTAAATACTAAAGCAAGAATTAATGTTAGAGCCTAATTAAAAGCTATTTATCAGGGTTAATCGTATCCTCCTCTCTTCTATGGACACTACTATGTCATATAAACTAAAACTATGCTGCATTTACCTGCCATGACAGGGTAATCAAAGTGCTCAGCTGCTGGGTCCAAATTGACCACCTGAACTGAACGGTTTAAGGTCTCTGAATGCTGGACCATGGTGGAGCAGTAGGTGCTCTGAAATGAAAATGAACTCCAGTAAACAAAAAGCAGATGCAGTCTGTGTTGAACACAAGACAACCTCATGCCTTAGCATTAGCCGAATAGCACAACAAGGTATTTCAACAAGTTTAACTGAATGAGTGATAACTTACCTTACCGCTACCCGCGGGACCCATCACTAGCTGTGCATAACGAGGCATTGTGCCTCAGTTAAAGAGAGCTGTGTAAAACTGGGTCCTTTTTGTCGCCAAAAGTAGCTTCGTAGAACTGTTCGTAATATTGATGCACTAGCGGTGGTGGTACTTGTGCTTCTTCTTCTCTTTCTTTTTCTTCTTCGTCTTCTTGTAAGAAACATCTACATTGTATTAGCACTTCTGCCACCTATTGGTCAAAGCGTGGTTAACAAGCTTGGATCATTAATATGGCATGTACTAAGAAATTTAATTGTTAAGTTATACACTATATGAAGACGTCTTTCTATTTAAGGTAAGACATTTCCGTCAGTAGAGACAGAATACAAGTCTCTCATAAATAATTAAGTTAAATAAACGTAGGAGAATACATACATTAAAAAGCTAAAACTATTTTTCTGAGCAGTTAAATAATTTCAGAAATTACTCTCTCTCTGTATAATATGTTTAATTTATGTAAAATAAAACAAAAAAATAATGGGATAAAGGATAAAGTACAAAGATAACGTCATTACTAAACACTAGGGGGCAGCATTCTGTCGTCGTAGCTTCTAACCTGCATACCTCTAAGAGAATAAGAAGGAAAGGAAGTCGTTGCAAACCGAAACATTACCATCGGCATGCCAAGCAAGAGCAACAACACGCAAGCGATTGCTCCTGGTCTCCTAATTTGACTGAGCCTCTAAAATCTGTCATAATTGGGGGGGGGGGATGTCTCGATAGAGTGGATGGAGCGGATAGGTGAAGCTTTTGGAAAGAGCTTACCGACTGGAGGTGGACTTCTTATTATCAGGTGAGCTCTTTCATCATAGTCCGTCTTGCAAAACGTTTCAAATTACTTTGCACGTTACGTAAACAGTATTAGCTTCATTATGCTCTGTGCCACACTCTTCTGCTATAACTTAAGACGGCCCTGCTAAGCCTGTCGTCAAAGAGTCGTTAAATGTCCCGTAAGAGCTCAGACTTAAAGAGAGAAGCTGTCCTTCTTTCACTGGTACATAAATAACTACAGGGCTCAATATTGTCTATGGTGGAGGAGCTTCCAAAAGCCACACACTGTCATTACCAACAGTAGCGGTGCTCATTAATGTGTTAAAAGCTAATCTACGCCAGCGCTAAACTTGGCAAGCGGGCGTTGCTAGCTGATAATAGCAACACAGTGAACGGAAGAATGCTACATGCAGGGACAAGTAGGCTAGTAGACTAGACATAAAGTGTCGCTAACCTATTTTTGTAACGTTTTGGTAAGAATGGACTGATCGCTGCTATTGCTAACAGGTCACTTAAAAACAAGCCTTTAAGTTCGCAGCTTAATCCCGTAAACCCACAGATTTGTGGCATTCACAGACTTGGGAATACATTAGTGGAACCTCATAGTCCGTTAAATTATATAGCTTTTACTAACATTTAAAATTATAATTAGTGATCTTTTTTTTCTTCTCCCCCTCTGTTTTCCAGAGTTGTAGGCTATGAGTGTGGGTGATGGAGGACGGTCAGCATGGGGACTTGGACTACTTGATCCAAGATGAGGACACTCTCATTGAAGGTGTCAGCAACCAGGTTTTATTTGTGGTGGTGCTCAGTGTCGCCTTCCTTGCAGGACTCCTCACTCTCCTCTGCAGGTAAGCAATTGTTGTTTAATAAAAGGAAAGTGCC